CATAACGTTTTCAAGGGGTGGTCCTTGCATACTCTTTTTTTCACTTACTCAATGATATTTTCTTCAGATTTAGTGATTTTATCTAAGCGCATGTGACACGTCAAGATAAATTATTTGTTACCATAGAAACAGTATACGGGATGATTACTCAAAAATAATAAATAACTCTTATTTAGTCAATTGAATTACCAAAAGATCTTTTCAAAGAAGTCCAACAGATTTTGCCATACGAAACACCTATTCAATAGCGATTTATTTATAAACTTTAAGAAAAATAAATGTTGCAGAAGCGTTTTCCCACAGAAGGTGCCTTTCCCCCTCCATCATGATCCATTGTGTCCAATTTTCGGCCGTGGTTATCATTATCACCTCTCAATTATAGTTTTTTATCAATGTATCGAAAAATCAGGTTGATAGCAATGATGCTAAAATTCTTGGTGTGTCGACACACATATTGGCTTAATTTAATAATAAAGGAACGTTCAAAATATATGGATCGCCCTTGCATGTACAGTAAAACCTGTCTAATCCGAACACCCACGGGACCAGCCAAAAGCGTTCAAATTGGCAGGTGTTCAAATTCCGAGGATTTTGTTGGTCGGGGGGGGGGGGATTTTCATTGTTCAGTCCAATATATTGAACACTAAGTCAGAAAACAATAAATGTTGTTGATGAGTTAATTCTACAATAGTCATATAGCCTATATGCTATGTTTTATTTATATTTTAAACAATATCATCGTTTTAGTAAAAATAACTCTTATATTTTGGCAAAAACTTTGTAATACACTGTAAAAGTATATGCTAGTCTCATATGAAATCTTATGCTTATCAAATGACTTATCCCATATTATGGTAATATAGCACTGCTTTACTTTTGCTTGAAAAAGTCCTTCATTGTTGTTTGTTTCTTGGCACTTTTAGCATTAGCAATATTTGAGTAGATATCCTCTTCAAATAAAAAGAATTTTTCATGAGTGTTCATTCGAGATGATGTATAATCCTTCAAAATATCAAGGGCATTCAGGATGTATGTATGCCTTTTAGGAGACATTTACAAAGTTGCATTTTTTCTCTTTCTTGTGATATAATCTTGTCTGCAAATGTCGTCTGTGTTGTCCTTGTGATTATAAAACATTTGCTGATTGAATCTTAGCTATCATAACAGACCCATGGGATATAAAACAGTTAAGACCTGTTCATAATCCAAATCGAAAACATCCAGTTAATTTACAATAAGGATAAACCAATTATCTCCCAGATTCTCACCTTTCTCTTAATCCAAATCAAAAACATTCAGTTCTTTTCTAAATCTTGTCTGCAAATGTCGTCTATGTTGTCCTTGTGATTATAAAACATTTGCTGATTGAATCTTAGCTATCATAACAGACCCATGGGATATAAAACAGTTAAGACCTGTTCATAATCCAAATCAAAAACATCCAGTTAATTTACAATAAGGATAAACCAATTAACTCCTGTATTCACACCTTTCCAAAACATCCTGTTGTTTTCCACAAATTAGGGATGTCACTGAGACTAAATAAGTTAGTTAGGACAATATTGGTTCTTTGATTACATTGTATATGTAAAGATAAATAACAACTATAACATTGACTCAATATTTGGCTATAATTGAAATGTCCAGACATTTGATTTCTGATAAAATGTTCAGATTAGACAGGTCACTTTTTCAAATCTGGTTGTTCACTGTTCAAATTAGGAGGTGTTCAGATTTCAAGTTTTTTTTAAATGGGAGTCAATGGGAGGAAAAAATGGGACCGAAAAAAAGTGTTCAAATTGGAAGGTGTTCGGATTAGCCAGGTGTTCAGATATACAGGTTTTACTGTACGTTGATTTAGTGGTGATTTTGTAAAACTCTGATTTAAAACTATAATTCTGAGAAATATATTTTTAGCAGGATACTCGTAAGATAAGTATCATAAATATATCTAATTGCTTATCGAGATGTCAACTCTGATTTATATTTCTTAGAAATATATTTATAGTAAAGGTGAGGTTACCTTTGTTAACGAGGTCACATTTTTTATTTCAGCAATTTGAGTGATTTGAATAGATTTTTTCTTATAAAATTTTCCATTCGCACATATCTAGGCAAGGTGTGGTTCAATGCGCGTCGGTTTATTAGTTTTCGGTCCAATGCGCGTCGGTATAATGGGATGATTACAGCCAATCAGAGCACAGTATTTCATATACTTGCATTGCATTATACTTGTCTAATGCATCCGATTACTAGATACTACTATACCCCCATACTGTATCCTGTATTCCTTTAAAAGAAGTACAGGCTACAGGGAAGTTGCAAATGGAGGACGTTTGTTTATTTCCATAGTTCTGAATGTATACTAGATTTTACACATATTCTAAGTGTTCTACTATACATTGTATAGATTCATCGAGCAGTTTGCATCGTATTATTACCAGAAAAGCCCAATGGACAAAGATAGAGAATACCCGCTCCATTTGCAACTTAACCGTACCCTGTATCATTTTTAAATGTGGTCACGTGGTAGGGTAGTGTGATATAGTATCCCTAGATTACATCAATTTCATAATTTCAAGCGGTCAATTTGTCTGTTCAACCAAAAGGAGAGGGATGCACATAAAAACGGAGGAATTGCAAATCAAAATAGAATTTATCATTTTGAAATAAACTTTGATTCAATCCAATTAATTGTTCGCTTTCTAAAAGTACAATATCCATGCACATGGATATAATGGGCACACTAACGGACAGGGTGGTCAGATTCGATAGAAAGTCCATGGTTGAGCAAACCAAAAAAAAAACTATATATCAAGTTACATTATCCTACCACACATAAATGCCCTTTTGGTGTCTGTGTGAGATAATTGCAACTCAAATGAAATGAAAAGTCAAAATATATAAAACCCACCCCTCCCTCCCTCTGCTTGCTATGCCCCCATAACTGGATTTCGATCGACATATTCTGATAAGCTGAGATTATCTCTTATTTAGAGTGAAGCTCTCTTTTAAAAGAACAAATAGTCACTTACTCACTGCTGTAACTATATTGATCAATCAGAGTATAGTTTCTTATATTCCAATACATTCTTGGATGGATCATCACCTTCTCTTTTTAGAAAAATCTTAATCAAGACATATACTTATTAATAGATTTTATTGTATATTTCTATTCAATCATTATTATATCCCTATTTTAGAATGCATCAATATATACATTTGTACAATTAAATTATAAATTTATTATATATACAAGAAATGAATCATCCACATTTTGCCAAAAATCATAAGATGGCCATGTTTTAAATTGTAAAATTGAGTGGAAAAGAGAGGATTAAGCAAGAAATAAAGTTAACTGACATGTAGTTAACACTCTAAATTGTATAGAAGTGCAAGAAAATCAGACACTTCATTCAAATTTTTGAGAGAAATGGAGTGAAATAAGCAAGGAATAAAGTAAACTGACATGTAGTTAACACTCTAAATTGTATAGAAATGCAAGAAAATCAGACATTTCATTCAAATTTTTGAGAGAAATGGAGTGAAATAAGCAAGGAATAAAGTAAACTGACATGTAGTTAACACTCTGAATTGTATAGAAATGCAAGAACAGAGGACACTTATTCAAATTTTAGGCAAATGTTGCATAAAAATGCAAGAAAATCAATATTTGTTTTAAAATCAAGAATGAAGTGTAAAATAACAACATGAGGCCATTCAGTTGACCTTTGGATTTATTTTGGAATGAAATGCATGTAACTTCAAGTATACTCATGTCAATAAAGGACATTAATACGCAAGTATTCATCTCAGAAGTTGTAACACAAGTGTATGCAAAACAAACTCCTTGATTTTTGTTTACTTCGATATGTAAATATGTGACATGTAAATGCATGTTGTAATGATACCATTTTAGCAAATAGTGTTAAATATGGTTACATTTTTTTAAATGTATTAAACTATCTAATTGTATGCAATGTTACTCTCTAATATATAAAAGATACAAATAAAATATACATACATACATTCAAAAAGTGTAAAAAATACGGATCATTGATATTGATACTCAAAGCTAAATACCATAGGTACTCATAAAAATGTTGGCTATAATACAGGGTGGTCAAAAAACTAGAAACCCTACATTTCCTCATATCTTTGTCATTTTAAGGAACTAATCCTTGATATTTTAAACATTTGTACTTCATTCAATTTCCTACCACCCTATAATATTTCATGACCACCAGACTGATAGTCACAATTTTACAGTACTTGCAAACCTGGACAGTTGTAAATGGGCTGAATGCATTCCTCAGCAGGTATGGCCTGAATGATACGGATGATCTCACTTCTGAGGTCTGCAATTGTCCTGAGGTCATTTTCATACACTCCAGGGAGATTTTAGATGATGTGTGAAGATTTGCTCACAGCGCAATAGTGGCCATGACGCATGTTCTTTAAAGTACTGTAACATTGTGACTATCAATCTGATGGTCACGAAATATAGGAGGCTGGTAAGCAATTGAATGATTTACAAATGTGTAAAATATTAGGGAGTTATTATCAAAAATGACAAAGATATAAAGAAAATGTTGTAAGGGTTTCCTTTTTTTGACCACCCTGTATATCTCCACTTCCACAATGTCATGATGATAATTCAAACTTTAGGTACACTGTACATGTTCTTTTGACAATTCGCTGCAAAAGTTATCACCTCCATTTTACAACACAGTAGATAAATTAAATGGAACTCAGATTTTAATATTTTTTAATTTTTCACCATCCTTCAAAACTCCTTTCATGCAATTTCTGTCAGTAGCCAATTTTCTTGCTATTCCTGCATTTAGAGTGTCAATACAATCATGATTTAAACTGTTGAAGGGAAGAACATTTGGGGCTTGACTCCCATCAAAGTTCACACACTTCATCTCCAAAGCCAATATATTTAATAGATTCCATCTCTTTTCCAAATAGTACACCATCCTTTGTATGAAAGAATTAATTATGTCAACCTCATTTTATCTCATTCTCTCAAAAGCTTACATTTCTATACAATTTAGAGTGTTGACTACACTTCTGTTAATTTTATTCCATGCTGATTCCTCTCAATTCTCTCTAAAATTTGAATGAAGTGTTTGATTTTCTTACATTTCTATATAATTTAGAGTGTTGACTGCACTTCTGTTTATTCTATTCCATGCTGATTCCACTCTTTTCCATTTCATTTCATGAATTAAAACATGATTTAATTTCAAGTGGATCACATTATATTGCACTGCTCTGGGTTCATTCCGGGTAATTGTGGATTGCCTTCTGCGTCAAATTGTAGACCAGGTGCCTGAAATCAGAAACACAATACTACACCAATACTATACCAAAGGGGCAAGATGTCACTAATCAGGCCCGTAGCCAGGGGGGGGGGTTCGGGGTTAAATACTAACTCAGGCCCGTAGGCCCGTAGCCTGGTCAAACAATCTTTCAAAATCGTGCGGTTTTTCATGATTCTGAACATTTGTCATATTATTTTGGGCCATATTTGTCAAAGTGAACCATCTCTGTTATTTTTCTGAAATGTGAACTCCCTTGGCAAAAGCTGGCTACGGGATTTTGAGGGGCCTATTAGAAAGGGTGTTTATATATAGGCCTTAATGTATCTTTATTTATTTATTCTCAAAGTGGATTTTCCTTCCAGAGAGAGCTAGACAAAGAAAAATTCTTACCATTTCACCTACTATATCTTTTGGGGGTTGTCCAAACTCCTGCATCTGAAAAGATGAAAAATTGGTTATTTGAATAATGAGAATGAGAACAGGCAAAGATGTTGCAACTAATGCTTTGCTTTGAAAACTTTTAAGACCATATGGCTGTATGCATATATTTAAAGAATAAACTTGAACTTATACAATTATATATTTTGTTCTGTCATTATAATACTTGTATGTTGTATACCTTTCACAAGTGATATTTCTGGAGGCCTGATGCCCCGAGAGTATGGAAAATATCATTCTTCAAAAAAGTCCCACTTATCTCACTGGCGGATCTGGGGGGGGGGGGGCCCATTGGGTGGGCACAGAAAAAAAAATTGGGCCCAAAAAAAGATTTTGGGCCAAAAAGGCTTTAAAGCCCCAAAAATTGGGCCTTTTTGGTCATACTTGGGCCTTTTTAATTTCGGGCCAAATTTTAAAGAAAATGGGCCTCAAATTTCAAAATTATGGCCCACTTTTGGGTTTTAGGGGCCCAAAATTTTTTTTCGTGCATGAGCGGATGTTTTTTAGCTGACTTCGAATTCAGGCCCCCCCCCTCTGTCGGTTCCGAGATCCGCCCCTGTATCTACCAATGAACAGTACGTCTTAAAGCATCACTGGGAAATATTAAAGAACATTTTATGTCATGTGATGCATGTTCAACCAATCACTGAACAAGAATCACAGTGAGAAAATGTAAGTAAATATACATGCAAAGTATATCAATTATTGATAAAGTTAGAGCATATAGTGCATTACTTCTGGGACAACCCTCGTATTTGTAAATATTATCACTCACTTTCTGCATTAAATCTAGAATTTTTTCAAATCGTTCTTTTTGTACATCTTCAGAGTCTGTTTGTTGTTCAGATTCAAATTCTGTGCAAATGTTCGTCATCATCTGTTGCTGTGCTTCGTATCTGTCTTTATCTTCTTTAGAGAGGCTTTCTCTATTATCACTAAGCCAGGCAGGGTACTGAAGAAAAGAATACAAGCATATTTGAAGTTTATTATTATTAAAGGCCCACTTTGCGTATTTTCAATGTTTTTCGGCAAAATAAAGACCTACATTTGAATTTCATAGTATTTCCAATGTATTGATAAGAACCTTATTTTTCATTTGACACCAATAACAGCTCAAACTGACCATATCAAAGCTTACAATAAATTATCAAAAAATAATTTTGACCTGCCAAGCTTTACATATCAAGATTTTATCAATATCATTGAAAGATGACAAAGATTGTATTACAAAATACATTCATTTTTGTAAACCAAGAGCAATTTAAAACATGAACTTTATTTAACATGTGCATGCATTACTAATGATCTCTGAACTTCAAATGCTTTTTTCTTTGTGAGTTTTTTCTTAGTTAAATATTAAAGCAAATAAAACTTTGTGTCATATTTGAGCGAGTGTATGAGTAACATCTTTCAATGATTATTTTTTTCTTTTTTCTTCTAAATTAAGTAAAGTTGGCCTTTAATGTAAGATTGATTTAGACTTCTAAAAGATGCACAGATTTTAATCTCAATAGAATGAAATATTTATATAACTTCACCAGTTTTGACAAATTGCAATTTTTGATGCATCAAGCTATTCAATACACAACTTACTTTTTCAGATATTTCTTTCAGAGATGGATACAGAATTTCTTTTGATAATAATGATTTCATCATCCCTTGCATCATGGGTAAAAATTCTAAATCTCCGCCTTCGCCAGCTTCGCCCATTCCCGGCATGGCTCCCATCCCTGGCATGCCCCCCATTCCTTGCATGCCCCCCATTCCTAAGCTCCCTAGAGATCGTATGAGATCTTCCTCTGACAGCTCTCCTTGTAGATTTTGGGCATTCTCTGCTAGACTCCCAAGTGTTTGTTGCAGGGTATCTACAAACTCCTTTTGACCATCTTCAGAAGCATCTGAAATTAGAATGAAATCAGATGGGAAAAAAGTCATGAAAAGGCAGAAATTAGCAAGAAATAATATAGGCATGTAGACATTCTAAATCATATTGACATTTATGTTGTTTTCGGAAAATTCAAAAGCAGTTACAGCTATGTTTCTTTCCAAAATATACAAGGCATTAACATGCAAAATGTCACCACCTGCCATTTGTTACAGGACCCATACTCCAAAACCAACAGCCAAACACCATCCACAAAAAAGTAGAAGACTAATAATATGTCATCAATTGTGATGGTGACATAAAATTATGAGGAATATGTTCTTGATGCATGAACCATATTCTAAACAATCTTTTGGAAATACCATTCCCATATAACCCATCAGAATTTTCAGGTTAAAACAATTGGAAATTTTACCTTAAAAATGCATGAAGGTGTATTAACTCTTCATTTTGCATTCAATACATGGAATACTAATATGTTTGGAGTCAAAAATTGTCACATGTTTTCATAAACAATTGCATTCCAAAATAGTGGATTTTTCCAGTGTAATAGTTGTACCACTCTTCTAGGGCAAACACTAACTTAAAAATGGTTAATAAATACCTGCAGAAGTAGCAGCCTCTGATAACTTTTCAAACTGCTCTACTATTTGTGGTTCAGATGATAACATTTGTTTCATGGCATTTTCAAATTGTTTTGTGGCTTCATCAGAGGCATCAGCACCGCTATTTTTGAATATTTGGTTAAATAGATCCTCCTGAGCCTTACTGGCATCTATGGCTGCAGAGTCAGCTGATGTCTGCAACAAAAAACAAAATCCCGCTGTGATTATTAACACACTTTATTACCTACCATACTTCTACTCAATTTGGTGCTACTTACTTTTGCAGATTTGCTGTTTTGACCATTTGACGGCTACTTAATTTTGTGGACTTGCAATATTACAAATGTACTTATGGTACTAATTTACATGGTACTAAAATTACCGGGGAATATGGCGGCTATTTAATTTGGTGGACTTTAACAACGTGACGCCAAATTAAGTAGAAGTACTATAAGCAGATGTTGACACTAGTCTGTTTTGCATCTGTTAAAAATTTCAAGTTGAACAGATCAGATTTCCTGGAATTTTGTTGACAAGATTTATGTGGTGCCCACCTACCCACCCATTTTTTAGGTTACTGTTATTTGAGCCTGGCCATAGGAAAACCGGTCTTATCACAAAAATTAAAATTGTGCTACAGAGCCAAAAATGTGCCCAAGATTAAGAGGAAAATGCGCTAAATTAAAATCCAAATTTTTGGTCTATATATGCAAGGAAAAATCGTAAAGACATAAGTCATGTCTCATTTCAAAGATCTTTTTGTGCTTTTTAAGATATACAAAACATCAAAATATTGAACAATCTATGATAAGACCCCTTTTCCTGTGGCCTGGCTCATTTACTTCCATATTAATTCAACATAATTATTTACATAGATTGTGAGGGGCCGAGGCTATATAGCATTATCTGCAACCTGTACAAGATAATGACAATATAGCACTTTCAAAAAGTGTGATAAAAATATGGGTTGCAACATACTGGATTTAAAGGAGGTGTTATATATATAATAGGATTTATTTGTACTGATGCCCCTTTAGGGCCAAACGTACATCCAACATACAATTTTCATAAACAGTAAAAATAGCAATAAAGTAAGAAAATAGGATTATATTATTCAGATGACATATAAAATATTACTTTGATATAAGACTAAGAGTCATTGCTCATGTTTTGAAAATAGACACTCTATTATTTTTTTTTAAATGTATCAGTTAATTACACGTCTTGTTCTACCTGTTTTGGTACTGCCTCGGGTGCAGCCTCTGTTGGTTGAGATTTTTGTTTTTCAAAGTCCTGTAATGCATCTGCAATCAAAAGAACACGTCAACGTTATATTGGTAAAGAGTCAAAAGGCATAGCAAGGCAAGAGGGAACTACTAAGAATTACACTGTACTGTGTCCCGACTCCGGATAGCCCGATATGGTTAGAAAAAACGTTACTTTAGAATGTTATGCATCGATTGAAGTAGGGCAAATGTTTCCAAGATTTCTTACATTTTTGTAAAAGACAGGAAATGACAAAACCATTGTGTTCCTGGTCATGTAAATGATATGTGGAACTAGTTAAACTGACTGGAGGTCAAAACAGAACTCTGTTATCACGGTTCAAAAAATGTTCAAAACCCAGCATGGTTATGTCATTTTTTGTTTTGTCATTTCCTGTTAACTTTCAGGAATATATCTTTAATGTAAGGCCACGATACAGTGGCCTTAGAAGAAGGTAAGTCTAGGCTACCACTCAGAGAAATGTCTTGAAAACGAGAGAACATAAATATTTACAAAATTATGGAGATAGCAGCATAAATCAACAAAACTTACTGTCTAGAAGATCATCTAGTTCTTGATCAGTGTCCGCTTTTGCTTTTGTTTCAGTTGACACCGTAGCATCGCCAACTGAGTCATTATTCAAAGAATTTAAAATATTTTCAGAATTTTTTTCCGCCATGCTTATTTTGATGACCTTGACCTTTGTATCAATAATAAATGTATGATTTTGTGAAACGAATAAATTATAATTATCTAATTATTTATTATTCTAGATTATTAGAATTCTTTTGTGATATAAATCCATTTATTTATGTTTGATTTACAATGAAATATGCAATTTAAAAATATATTGTATTGTTTCTTTACAATTTCGATTACATAACAAGTTGTGCTTTTTAATACATTTGGTTGTTCACGCGAGATTCAGCTGATCATCGGTGCCCGTGTCATGTATACTAATATTTATTGGTACATTTTATACACAATTCTCAATTTATACACTCCACTGGGCCTGAACTAGAAACTGGACTATCAATCATTTGTTTTTGTAAGAGGTGTAAAAGTACTGAAGTGATGTACGTGAAATATTACAGTACAGAGCTCGTTCTTACGTTAGAAGTTGCACATTTAAACTCAAGTTTTGCTCAACTGAGTTGAATATTTCAGAAAAGTGGAAAAATATTGGGAGAAAGGGAGCCATTTGAATGAAGAGTGTAACTCGAAAATAGCAATTATTTTTCAGTAAAGCTGAAGGCCACTGTTTGTGACAAAAAATGGCTGAATTTTGGGGAAATTCTCAGGATCTGTCGTATTCTGAATTAGACTCATTTCCAGAATTTTTACTGGAAGGGGATCAGGCACATCAGCTCCAAAGTCTTCAGCTGGATCATAATCAGATAACGGTGCTTCCTCGAGTTATAAGTGCTTTCGCGAACCTTATAACACTTGACGTAAGTAACAATGGAATGACTTATCTAAGTCCTGAACTAGTCAGATTGCAGCATTTACGAACCTTTATCGGAAAAAACAATTATTTCGAAAATGAATCCATACCAAAGGATTTTGGTTTATTACGATCGTTAGAAGTTGTAAACATTAGTGGGAACCAGGTGACGGAATTCCCGATGCAATTTACGGAGTTACATCATTTAAAGTGCCTGTATCTTGGAAGCAACAATATTCGACATGTGCCAAATGAAATAAGAAATTTAATCAGGTGAGTGTATGGTATCTCTTTTCATGAAGCATAAACTTCCGATCTTCACATCTTAGATATATCTTTAAAGTGAGTAGAAGGGATAGGGGAAAAGCTTTTGCTACACCAATGGCTGATCTCCAAATAATCACTATTGCTGTTGCTGAATTTTGATATATAACATGATTTTCATGGTCTCAAAGAGTTTATTGCACTGTATATCAATTTTCTTTTCCTATCGAAATTATATAAAACGTGCTCCCATGAATCAATATAGATACTCCACAGGCGTAACAACCCCAAGACTTCACTATAATGGACGAATAAAGAAGTATAAAAATGCCCATCTGAATTTTGTTATATTTATTCTCCTTGGAAAGAGAGAAAATGGCCTTGAACCTAGATTGCACGGGCGATCTGAAGTAAGCCTACGTGCAATGTATTTCTGATGTACAAGAATAATCTAATTGTACATCCTGTATTGCACCAATCAAACGAAATATTGTAAAACAAGCATATTTCTAAATTGAGTAAAAGGAAGTGTTTTAAACAAAAATGATAATAATGATATCAATATATATATAATTTGCGCAAGCCACGCGAACTTTCAAATTTCTGTCATGATCATGAAGTTGTTGTGTGATCAAAATAAGCTCACTTTCATCACAAGGGCGCCGGGGATTAGTATTGTATTAAAAATTAAATCCACATAATACTCCCATCGCCAAGGCCCCGATACAGTGTGAATCTGACCTTATGTAAGCGAGGTATTATTGTGCGTGTTCACTCAAGTTTTGTAATAATCGCTCGCAAATGGCAGCTCTGTCACGGTGCATTGAGGAGACACGATTCAAATTCAAATTGGTTTTAGCCTACTTCAAACGTATTCCGAGTGAACACGATCAGGGGGCCCAAACATTGTGAACTATTTATTCACAATTACAGGAGTGAGCGTGATAAGCTCTACTCAAAATGTATTCTGAGTGAACTCAACATGGGGGCCTAAACATCGTCAACTATTCATTCATAATTACAGGAGTGAACGTAACCAGCTCTATATTCATGTAGTCTAATGTGCCTATGTAGACGTCATCGTAGGCTCATGAAGTGTGATTTATTAAGAACAACAAATGATTATTTGTATTTTTTTATATTCTAATTCATTTCCTTATGCTATGATGAAGTTTATTCAACGGGAGTCGCAATTATCTATATATACCGTACAATAAACACTTTAACAAAAGAAATTAAAAAATTTCCAATTTCTATGAAAAGCAAAAAGCATTGACTGTAACAAAGTATTCAGTGAAAGTCCATTTACATGTGTATCTCAATCTCATACTTGAGTTTGTTTAGGGTAGATATCACCCGGGAATATATATCATATCTGAGGAGCGGGTAGGATATACCACTCCAGGCCAAATGTGGGCAGATAAAATATATCCATCCTGTTCCCAGGAATTTTTCAAAAGTTTTAAAATTTAAAAAATTTTTAATTAAAAAAATGTACAACGATTTCATAAAGGAATATTCCGAAAATTTTAAATATAATTTGTGCTTTTCATGCTTTCACTATAGGCCTATATCATATCATTTGAAAAAGGTGGAACGGTTATATCTACCCCAAATCCACTCAAGTATGAGATACAGAAGTTATGTACTATCGGTTTTGGATATAGGTTATATCCCTCTGGAAATATTTATATCTCCCCTGTCTTGGTCCCTTCGGTCCCTCGGGGAGATATAGTGATTATCCAATATGAGGTTCAGGATATTGGGATTATCCCGAGGCCAATATAATATATTTGCCCGAGGGCCGCAGGTCCCGAAAATATAAGTTTTTACAAACCGGCTTTATGTACCTATAACACGTCCAAGTATGGGATAAATGAATACAGTAGAACCTGTATATCTGAACACCTGGCTAATCCGAACACCTTCCAATTTGAACACTTTTTTTCGGTCCCATTTTTTCCTCCCATTGACTCCCATGTTAAAAAAACCTTGAAATCTGAATACCTCCTAATCTGAACAGTGAACAACCAGATTTGAAAAACTAACCTGTCTAATTTGAACATTTTTATCAGAAATCAAATGTCTGGACATTTCAACAATAGCCACATATTGAGTCAATGTTCTAGTTGTTATTTATCTTTACATATACAATGTCATCAAAGCACTTGTCCTAATTAACTTATTTAGTCTCAGTGACATTCCTTATTTGTGGAAAACAACTGGATGTTTTGGAAAGGTGTGAGTACAGGAGTTAATTGGTTTATCCTATTAGAAAAGAACTGAATGTTTTATATTTGGATTAAGAGAAAGGTGTGAATCAAGAAGATAATTGACTTATCATTATTAGAAATTACCTGGATGTTTTTGATTTGGATTAAGCGAAAGGTGAGAATGTGGGAGATAATTGGTTTATCCTTATTGTAAATGAACTGGATGTTTTTGATTTGGATTATGAATAGGTCCTTACTGTTTTATATCCCATGGGTCTGTTATGATAGCTAGGATTCAATCAGTAAATGTTTTATAATCACAAAGACAACACAGACACATTTGCAGACAAGATTGTATCACGAGAAAGAGAAAAAAATCAACCATAATATGAGATAAGTCATTTGATTTCGGTCGAGACTATCATATACTTCTTCAGTGTATTACAAAGTTTTTGCCAAAATATAAGAGTTATTTTTACTGAAATAATGAAATTGTTCAAAATGTAAATAAAACATAGCACATAGACTATGGGCATATTGTAGAATAAACACATCAACAACATGTATTGTTTTCTGACTTAGTATTAAGTGTTTAATATAGTGTACTGAACAATGAAAATCCCCCCCGACCATTAAAATCCTCGAAATTTGAACACCTGCCAATTTGAACGCTTTTGGCTGGTCCCATGGGTGTTCGGATTAGACAGGTTTTACTGTATATCCATCAGGATATACCCTATATCCAAAACCTCCCGGTACATAATAGCCCTTATACATGTTTATCGTTATGAATATCCAAAAGTAGCATTATATATGGAGGTTCAATTCCCAAGAACCCTGTAATTAAATGAAAGAAATCAAAAATAATATTGAAATCTTTAGGTTTTAAGCAATTCAGAAGGAGAACTTAATACATGGAATTTTATGTTTTTACCTTGGGTGAATATTTTTTTTTATTTTATCATTTTTAGGTTTTTTGATTGATTTATTGCTCAATAAATGCCAACTCAGTTATGTTCTTTAAAGATCAATCTTGCATTATTTATTCATTCCAAAAATACCCTGAATAGTATGAACATAACTGCATGTTATTCGATGTATGATTCTTATGTAAGAATAACTGTTGTAAAATAGAACTGTTCGAAATAGAACCACTCTAACTTATTCTTATACAGGGTGTTCCAAAAGAAACAGGACTGGTGCTGGCATTCTGTCAATTTTGCAGTGAGTGTCTTCAAATTTTTACAAATTGTACTTTGAAGTATTGCAACTAAAATTGTAAAGTTTCAGAAAAAATTATGAAATGTGGATAGTGTCATGGTTACTATAGTAACGTGACATCACAATACCCGGGGCAACTTTTTCATGAAAATGTGATATCTAACATTTTTGTATTACTGAAGAAAGTATCTAATTCACCTATTATAATACAACATTTCTTATTTATTTTATTAGTTGCTTTGTTGTAAAGGTGATGCTATACAACTCAGATTCAAGTATAATTTCATAATAATATTTATTCAATTTCCTGGAATATCACTTATGCATAACAGTCTGAACAATTTACGGTTGAGTTTTTGAAAAGACCCAATTTGGAGCCAGTCATCCACCTTGATAACGCGCCTGACCGCAGGCCAGCATGAAAGACAATCCAGCTATAGAGGAGCTAGGTCTTGAGATCTAAGACCATGCACCATACTCTTCTGATCATACAATATCCAATTCTTACTTACATTGAGAACGGAGTGCTAATCAGTGCTGTAAGACCTTTAAAGATGAGAATGACCTTCTCCAAATTGTCCAATCGACCATGCGTGACATGTCCTCAAATGGGTCACTTATGTGTTTGGGTCATGGATACAGAGTACTACTCTTGTACTGACCAAAGAGGAGCCCATTTTCAACGTAGAGGATACATAGGAATATCAAATGATGTAAAACAAATGTTATTCCCACCAGTTGTTGCATTTCAACTTTGATATGGGATGTACAAAATGCTTAAAGTCTCTCTAACTCTCTGTGTGGAATGTTGCCCCGGGTATTGCGATGTCATGTTACTATAGCAACTATAACTCTACCCGAGTTTCATATATTTTGTTGAAACTTTGCAGTTTTAGTAAGGATACATGAAAGTACATTCTGTACAATTTTGAAGACGATTGGTGCATATTTAACAAAATGCCAGCACCAGTCCTGTTACTTTTGGAACACCCTGTATCATGATGCCTAGACCTAAGTTTGGATTTGCATCGTTTTTATCTTCTAAATGGATGTGAATATCTGTAAAAGCCAAAAGCTCTTCTTTGTAAGAATATGGTTATCTCAATTCTCAAATGACATCTTAATTTCAAAAGCAGACATATTAAAAAAGAAAGTTTCACGTTTTATATTTAAAGTTATTTTATTTTACATTTTAAGTTATTAATACAAAGTGCCACACTTTACCATCATATTGCTACAGTGTTGAAAATTGCTACAATTTACTAAAAAATAATGCTACAATGTTATAGATTGCTACAATTTACCATCATATTGCTACAATTTACTTATGTGATATTATAATATCTAACAATTTCTTATAATGAACTGAAAAAATCCATTTTTAGTCATCATTCCTCTGAATAAACAGTCAAAGTCAGAATGACTTGCAAAATAATCACATTTCCTATTTTATTAGAAAGCACTCTCAAAACTTATTTTCCTTTAAATTATATGACTATTATGCAACAAAACAAAAAATATAATGACATAAATTGAATGATTTGCATTTATGTGTTTATTATGACCTGTATAGTA